CAAAATGAGGCAAACAGAAAACGCTGATGGTTCAATGGTTGACCTTGTGCAGTAATTGAGTGGCTGTAGAGTGGCCACAATCAAAACAGTAGTGAATCGTGCTGGCGTAAGTGGAGTCGGCAGTGATGATTAGCGCGGAAAAGTACCACTGATGCTGACGATGATACGGATTAGCAGTTAGGAATAATAATATTAGGCCACAAAGGAATAACGCACACTTTTAGGACATTTTGACCGATAACAGCAGGTACCTAAATGTACTGAGCAAACTATTGAGTGTTTTTTGTATCATTTTAAAGATTAGGGTCACAGCTCTTCATAATGATAACTTTGAGGTCAGTTAGTGAATGTCATCTGTAATTAACAAAAATAAAAAGTCGTTTATTGTGCATGCAGCGCCTCTCGACAATCAGAAAAATACAAAAATCAGAGGTGACGGCGTCAGTTTAAAGAGTTTAAAGTCTTAAAACTTTCTGTGAGCTCTTGAAAAAAGTCATAATGCAAATCAGTCTCAACATAAAGATTATGTTAACATCTTTAACTCGCGATGTATAATAAACAATACAAATTACCAATTTATCAAATCACATAATGTTTGCGTAAGAAAGTTTTGGAAACATCTTTAAGTTATCAAGAATTTCCTGTCGATTTCCCAAATAATCTCCTCTTGTTTGAAGAGTTAGCATTTCCAAATTGGGAAAAATGTTGCTGAGAGCGATGCAGAGAATTTTAGCAGAACAATTAATGCCATTCCTAGTAGGAGAAAAGTGAACTCTCTTTGCTGGTGATTTGAAGCAACGTTTCTGCAGTTCACGAGAATTATTGTCAGTTTTCTTGAAGTCCATATGCAAAACATGCAGTTCAATCAAACTCTTCATGTGCTCAATGATTTTCATTAAAGAGACTAGGTCTAGTTTTCTCTGCAAAAAAATTATTTGAGTAAATTTTCAAAGCTCAATGTGCTCAACTTACTGTGGCGGAAAGTTCAAAATATTTCAAGTTGATCAAATAATTGCCCAGTTTCGGTGTAAATTCCATATAACGACCTTCCTTAATCTGAAGATGAATAATTTTGCCAGCAGCTACGTCAATATCCATGAATTTGTTTGTAATATTCTGGGTCCCATTAACAGCTAGGTGTACTTTACAACTTGATTTTAAATCGGAGAAAACTTTTGCAAAATCATTAGACGCTTGAACATTCAGCGAAATTTGTTCTAGCTGGGCAAGAATGTTTTTTGGCACTTGCGTCACAGAGATATTTTCTGACAGCAAATCAAGACGTTGCAGAGAATTCAAAGCAGAGATAGAACTCTTAATGATGTCAAAATCGTAATTAGACAGACAGTGCAATGAAAGACTTTTTAGATCGGGCCAGTGCTCCAGCAAAATAGAGTGGTATAATTCGTAACCATTGCCAAAACCAGACAGCGTCAAGTGCTTCGTTTTTGAAAATGTATCAATTAAAAAGTTTAGCAGCTCTGTTTTAAGGTAGTGCTCATTGAATGCCAAATCATCGTTAGAGTTGAGGGCCAGATAATCCAATTTGTTACAGTAGATTTCTCTTGAGTAATCTCTGAAGCTTGATGAACTCCGATTGTTGAAAATTTTTAGGGTCTTTCTAGTTCCGCAGTAAGCCTCTATGACATTTTTCCAGCTGGAACAAACGATACGAAGTAAAAGCAACTCTTGTAGCGGAATAAACTTTAGAATCAAAGTTAAACACTCATTTGGCATATCGTTGATTTGCATTGAGAACATAGATTCATAAGTTTGCACAGCAACAGAGCTGAACTTTTTCTTAGTAGGCAAAACAGACTGGCTTTCAGTTATCTAAAAAAGAAAAAATTAAAAAACTACAGTAAACCGAATAACAAAACTCACCACATTTGATCCGTTACTTAAATCGGATTTAAAGTTCTGCTGAATCACTTCAACAAACTCTTCAAGTTTGCGTTTCATTGCAGTTTTTTCAGGAAAGCTCCAAGAGTCGACGCCCAGCAGGCCAATGACATTTTCCAAACCGTTGATTACTTGCGGCGCTGGAGAAACCGACTTTGGCTTGTTGACATCCTCCGATGCCTTCTCAGAAGACATTATCGATCTACCAGATTCCAAGGTGAATGCTCTAAAACGATGTCAGTTTATGAGAAATGATGGAAATTTCATCAGGGATGGAAATTTAACAGATTTCACTCAAAGAAACGACACCAAAACGTTGTGCGATTTTTTTGTTTTGATTTTCTTCGCTTACTATTTCGACTAATGAGTCGCAATAGATTTTCGAAAAAAATGATGAATATTCAAATGCATTTTCAGTTTTTATTTCTGTACATTGGACATTTACTAATAGAATTTTGGCATTGATTCTTTGAAACTAAAATTAATTTGCTAAATGCATTAATTTTTGTAACACAAATCTGAAGCGATCACCAAACTCAAATTTAGTTTTCATTTACTAAAGTGGAGTTTTCAATTTGCAAATGGCTCTGATAAATGAAATTTTTAAAACTGAAACATTTTTTAAATGTTCTATGAACTGCTAAATTTAAAAAATTAAAAATGCATTTTTTGCACAAACTTACGTCAATAATAGTTTTACAAATTCATTTTAAACTCACTCATCAAAAGTTGGCATTTTACGGAAATATTTCTTTATTTCAATTTTTAAAACAATCTTGTCGTAAACAATCGATATTAAAATATTGCTTCATTTTAATTGATCATTTAAAATCAAACGACACTGTTACCTTTCAAGAACAGTTTCCAGTGAACTTGTTTTTAAGAAAAATTCACTGCAATTGCTACTTGCACCTTTCAAATATTACTTTGAAAAACTTGACAAAACAAAATATTTTGAGCAGCAATTCTCAAGTAATATTAGATTTGTCTAGTTTGCAACTAAATGAATATTTTAATCAAATTGTTTATCAGATTAGTCAAATTTATTTGCAATGTTCAAACTGTTTTCCGTTTATACTTTATTTGGACAATAGTTTACACAATATTTTTAGCCATTTTAGTACAGTGGTCAGTAATTTACCAAACTTTCAAGCTATAGCAGTGTCCAGTAAAAACATGCAAACAGTTCACATTCGACCGGTGCTAAATGGTTGCGATTTACTGGATGGTATTTTTGTGCCGCAAAATACCGATGATTTTTCAAAACTTCAAGTACCAAACAGCAAATGTAGTTTTTTCTTTAAAACACTTAACATTTCGGTTGTACACGTAAGTTTCTATTCATGTGTGAATTCATTTGGTCAGTATTCAATATTAATATGAATAAAACTTTATTAATCAGGACGCTCTCTACTGTTCAGTACAGAAGAGCATTGATGGCCATATAAAACTGCTCATAGAATCAACTGAATTTGAGCTGATTGATATTGTTAAGAAATTTTTTCAGTTTTCCACAAACTTTTTACTAGCAAATAGCTGGGGAATAAAAGTTAACAATCAGTGGACTGGTTCAGTAAAGTTTATCATTGATAAAGTGAGCTAAATTCACTCTACATGATCAGTTCAAGTATATTTTATATTTTTAGAAAGTCAACTTTGCCATGTGTTCTGTCTTCCGAACTGAAGAGCGCCTGGAAGTGGTAGACTTTACATCGCCAACTTATTACGATGAAGTTGTCTTCATGTCTCTGGCTCCCTCCAACTACATAAACCAATGGATTTTCTTTAACAAAATTTCAAACACACTTTGGATTGCAACTGCTACTTCCTTTCTAGTAGTAATTCTGCTGCTGAAGCTTAACAACAGGCTTTTTCAGCAAAAAGGTGCCATCACCGACGGTTTTGTTGCTTTGAAAGTGTACGCCATCATAGTCAAACAGGGTAAACTTGTCAGTATTTGGTACAAATTCTGAAAAAGCTTGTCGCCCAGGTCTCAACTCGATGAACAAGGAGTCGCTGCAGTCGAATCGAATTGTGTACTCCTTCTGGGCCATGACGGCACTTCTCCTCTCTGACGCCTTCAGCTGCATTTTCTACTCCAACCTAACCAAGCCAATGCACGAGCCACCGGTGGACTCAGTGGCCGACCTTCTGCAGGCAGTGGCCACCCACTCGCACTACGTCGTCACGCAAAACAACAGCGCCATCCTCTCGAGGATACTGCAGGCTCCAGCGAATGATCGCGTGTACTCGACCATTGCCCGACAGATGCGTCACGCCGGAACGCCCATGATGGATTCATTTACGCAGACAGTGCCGCTGTTGGAAAGAAACAGTCGGTTGATTGTCATTACATTGCAAAATCAGGCCTTCATTCGGCAGTACCTGCTGGCGCGAAAGGCGTTGCACATTGGCACCGAGACTCTGGAGCCAGTTGGTCTTGCCTGGATTCTGCCTAAGCGATCACCGATGCGGGAGCCGTTTAATAAAGTGTAAGTAGTTTTAATTATCAAATTGACTTTAATAAGTTTTTTTTCGTTTTACTTTTTTGCCTTAGAATAACTCGCATACACGAAATGGGTTTCATTAAGCGGTGGCTAGTGAAAACTATTCTCCTGAAGCGTTCCCAGTTGAATCTTCAATTTCATGCAAGAACACTTAGTAATGGCCAGCACCTGACGGAGCTACGAAGCACTAAAACAATGTCGTTTATTGAGCTTAAACCAGTTTTTAAAATTTGGGCAGTGTCTAGTCTTTGTACCGGGGCGTTTTTAGCACTGGAGGTTTTGTGTTATTTGTTAGCCAAGTGAATTCTGATAACAAATCTTTTGCGCCAAACTTTTTTTAAAAACAAGTTCTGTGTTCCCGTGTAGATAAAAAAATTTCGAATAAATCAGTTTTATAATAGAGCTCAAGACACAATGGCGTGTCACTATACTTTCATCTTTGTCACTGTCAAAATGTCATTCTCAACAGCTCAGCTGAGCCCCAGCATTTTGCACTCCCTAGTGGACAACTTTTTTGAGGGGAAAAAGGCGCTGGTGAAGGAGCGACTTCGCATGTCTATGGACAACATCGTAAATGACCTTTTTGACGAGATGGTCGGACAGGTCAAGGAGATGCTGCTCCCCTCAAAGGACCCTCCTCTAGTATCTGCTCCACTTCAGGTCATCCCCAAGCCGCCTGTTGCAAGCAAGTCTCCCAGCAAGGCGAAACCCACTTTGCCCAAAGTAAAGAAGGTGTTGCCCAGCTTTGGTGGTCACAAGCCAGTCAGCCAGCCTTCCACAAGTAAGCAAACCGCAGACGTCCAAGTGGTCAGCGGTTCTCAAACACAGTTTGGTCAAAAACGCACTGCTGAGTCAACGGCTCTTGTTGAGGACACCTCAGCAAACATTGAATTTTTTGGAGCAAAAAAAGCTAAACCAAATGACCATTTTGATGAGAGTGCTATTTACGACGATTATCTGGCTAACTATGATTTGGCTATTAATGATGCATTCAAAGGCGGCGACAAGGACAACACATCAGATGAGGTGAGTAAACAGTTTCAAAGATTGAGTTATATTTTTTATCATTCTTTTTCAGCCTACGTATCACATCATGCAACCTGCTGCCACCGATTACTCGGCCTTCCAGGAAAATGGTGAAGAAGAAGCTCACGGTGAGCAAAAGGCTATTGAGGTTAGTGGTAAATTCACTTGCAGCGAAGCTGGATGCGGCAAAAGCTTTCACAACAGTACCAACTTGAAGCGACACTCTCGACAGCATTCAGGAGTGAAACCATTTGCCTGTGCTTTTGTCAGTTGCAACTTTACTTCATTTGATAAGTCAAACACTGTTCGTCACATTCGTCATGTTCACCTGAAAGCCATGCCTTTGGAAGAGGGCCAAGAGCCGCCTGATCCATCCGTTTATCTTATTGCTAACCACGAACAAGCTTAACCACAACTTTTTATAGAGATCATTTTTAAACTTTGAATTTGTAATTGAATATTTATGTTCCTAATTAAATTGACAGGTGCTCGTACAATACCAGGCTGGTATGGATCCTTCTGTAAATGAAAATGCAAATGATGGCTACTCAGTTAAGGTTAGCGAACAAAATTGAGAAACACATCTTTTACTAATAATTATTTTTTATAGAATGCAGTCACAAACAACAACTCTGGAAAGGTTAGTTCACAATTTGTTTGTCAAGAAGCTGGTTGCGGAAAAGTTTTCAACCGAAAGGACAACTTGAAACGTCACTCTCGCCAACATTCTCGACTGAAACCTTATGTCTGTACTTTTCCTAACTGTTCATATGACTCCAGTGACCAATCTGCTGTTATCCGACACATTCAAACTCACTTGAAGAGTTTGAAACTTGGAGAAGGTGAACAGCTTCCTGAAGCAGCTGTGTACCTTCGTGTCAAGCAAGAACTACTTTGAATTTTTTCTCACTAAAAATATTCATTTTTAAATTGTAAACGCAACATTTGCCTGACAACTATGAACTTTTTCAACAATTAAACTGCAGTTTTAAAAACTATTTAGAATTTTATTTTTGGTATAAATCATCGTTACATTGTTCCAACTTATGCTGTTGTTGCACAGGCAGACTCATCTCTGTCATATCAGTTTTTCAACAACTTTTTTCATCTTTCTTTATCATGGTATTTCCTCCACATAAAAAGCCTCAAGAGAACAAACAAAAANTGACAACTATGAACTTTTTCAACAATTAAACTGCAGTTTTAAAAACTATTTAGAATTTTATTTTTGGTATAAATCATCGTTACATTGTTCCAACTTATGCTGTTGTTGCACAGGCAGACTCATCTCTGTCATATCAGTTTTTCAACAACTTTTTTCATCTTTCTTTATCATGGTATTTCCTCCACATAAAAAGCCTCAAGAGAACAAACAAAAACAAGCAGAAAAAAGACAACCGAAGCCGAAACAAAAAAAGAACTCGGAAGAGCTTCCAGTACCCAAATCATTTCCAATGGAGAATGGGCCGGATCCATCCAAACTCCAGGCCGCTGATCTCACCTGGGTGTACAAGGTGCCCGATAGTAAGTGTAAACTGTTCACCGAAGAGGACGTCGTCAAGTACCATGGCTTTAAAATTGAAGACAAAGTAAGCAGCTCCGACTGATAGTGATTGACTAACAAAAAAATCGTTCTTCATCGTTTCAGCTAGACGCCGGCAGCTACGGTGTCATCTACAACGCACGAGACAGAAAGAACGCCAAGGTGGTCTGCAAAGCAATCGATCTGGGCGTTGCCGACTGGGACTCGGTGAAGATGATGGACGTGAAGAATGAGCTTTTCATCATGAGCAAGGTAAAGCACCTGTACATCATTAAGGTGCACGACCACTTCATGACGGTGACGGACACTGGAAGGCGGTTACACATCTTCATGGCGCTGGCTGATGGCGGCAATCTGGCCAAATACATTGCAAAGCGCTTCAGTGAGAAGGGCAGCAACGGTTCGGTGATGACGCAGCTGCCGGAGAAGGACGGCAAGAGCTACTTTGCGCAGATTCTCTGTGGGCTGGCGCACCTACATCTGCTGGGAATTTCTCATCGTGACATTAAGCTGCAGAACGTGCTGCTCAGCAAGTGCGACCAGTCCATCAGCGGCGACTACACACTGCTCATCAGTGACTTTGGCCTCAGTCGAGTGGTGCACCACAAGGCGGGGGGAGCAGTGGAGAACAACACGACTTACTGCGGCACACCAATTCACATGGCTCCGGAAATACTGCTCTACAAGGCCTACAACTCATTCTCCACAGGTAGACACACACAGTGGCTGCAGTGAACTAGTACAAAGTGACTGTTTAGCATTAAATTTTTTTTGCACTTAAAGATATCTGGGCGCTGGGCATCACCGTATACATCATAATGACCAATGAGATGCCCTTCGACTTCAAGACAATGGGTAAGGCGGTCAAGGACATGCAAAGTAGAAGGTGGAACTGGCCGGCCAAGATGAAATCTCCGCCACCGTCAGCTGATTTGAAGGCAATGACCAACAGCCTCCTCGAGCCGGAGCCCACAAAGCGGATATCAATGTCTGACCTGTGCACGGCCAGGTGGATTGCAGCCGACTACAAGAGGGCACAGGGACTGGCGAACAAATCTAAGCAGTGAAAAGAAGAAAGTCATCTCATTCATAGAGTTTTACCAACCAATCAGAGTTTTTATTTCAAATTAAAACGATTAGGACAGCTTCACCATCTTAGCATTGCCAATGAGACTTATTCAAGATTTGCTATTTACCGGTATAGGGTGGCCAAGAACGTTGAAAACCCATTTATCCAGCGGCAGGACAGGATTTTCATCTTCACTAAAAGTTAAGAAAAGGTACTTCAACGTTGCGTGAAAATGGTCGATGAATCGCTGTTTGAATCCAGGACGCTGGGTGGGCACCTTCTGGACGTTGACAATGGGCGCGTATCCACCGCCTTCTTTTGGACTCACCGCCGTGTGCTTCTCAATGGCCTGCAGCAGCTCTGCCGCGTACTCTCGGTACTTCTGTTTTCGGGTGAGTCGCCAGCCCAGGAAGTAGGACTGGGCAATGCCGCTGTCGAATTTGTAGCCCTGAAAGGCGAACCGCTTATTATCCGCCTCCTCGTCGTCGCTGAAGAAGATGTGATTCGGCGGCAACTTGGTGACCGTTTTATTCGACGCCAGGTGGCAGGTTTCAATAAGCCGTTCTCCCAGTTCGGTGTAATCACTGGAGCAGTTTGCCCAGGTGAAATTGTGAACTCCCGAGTAAGCGTTTGCTGCTTCAAGCTCCTTCAGCACCTTGCCCGCCAGCAGCAAGTTGCCCCCGTGAACGCAGCCCTCCAGCATCATCATCGGCTCGTGGAAGGACTGCTTGCCGCTCTTTAGCTTGAAGTTCTTATCCCGAACAAAAACATTGCCGGCTTTAGAGACGTCCAACAGACGGTTCTTCCTGGCACTGTCCATCACCTCGAGGAAGGTTTTGAAGTATCTGATTCGCTCTGCTTCACTGTCCCCAGCGGCTTTCATGTTGTACCGGTGCAGCAGCGAAGTGAAGAAGATGGACTGCCCGGACTGCAGTGTAAGAAACTCCGTCAGATCGATCCAGCTGTAGCCGTTGACGGAGACGGGAAAGAGGCCCTTGCTTTTTTCTCTCGAGTAGTCCAGTGCCACCAGGAGCATCTCCTTTGCCTGGTCGGGCTCTCTTCGGTTCAGACTGTTCAGGTAACCATATTCCACCGTTCCTCCACCCATTGAACTTATCTCAAGAGTTGAAAGTACTTTTACCTGGCGAAGTGGTTCAATCTCCTGCGCCAGAAAGCCTTTATGGTAAAAGTAAGCGTTCAAGAAGTCGGCAATCTCCTTTGACTTGTTCAAGTAGAGGGCATCTTTCGTGAGCGCGTACAAGGACAACAAACTGCCCATGTACTCGTTGACCACCTTCACCGTGCGAACGCGCTCTGTGATGAGGCTAAAGTTCATCCTGTCATGAATCCACTGACGGCCCTTCTTTGCCTCTTCTGTCAGATTCATCACCACCAAATTGGTCATGGCGCCCAGAATCGGCTCGCCGTAGGTCAGCTGCTCAGAGGCAGAGACGTTTCGGTGAAGTCGAGCCTCCCATGGCTTCCAGTTAGCGAGAGTCACATTTCGAGCAAGGTTGCGAAGTGCTTCAAGGCCAGCTGCAGTGGTGACATTGTAGGATGAAGAGGAGACATTCTTCTTGCTGTCACCACTTGCGATGGCCACCAGCGCACAGACTAGAAGAGCAGAAGAGTGCGTCCAGTTGCTCATTGAACAACACAGCCGGGTTGGAACAAAGTGAATAACACAATCAGAGAAGAGGAGGCTAATTTTGTGAATGAGTAAGTCAGTTATATTATTGAGTATCTCTTTTGCACATCGACTGTTCAACCTCTAACTGTGCGTCGTTGATAGTGCACTTAGTGATTGAGTTCTTGTTGTCACCTTTCTTCAGCTTATCAGCTGGTTGTGCCGTACAGTAAATTAGATGGGATAACAAGTTGCACTTGACTGCCGTACTGGAAAACCCAAAGCTATCTGTGCCAGTGCCTTATTAGCGCGAAAGTGTAGTCACTTTCTAAAAGGACACACTTTCAGCATCACCAACCGGTGTCAATTGAGAGCAGAGGGTAGTGAACAAACACTCTGTGTCATTGCCACTTTTATGTTTTCATCACTCAAAACAATCATTGGAAAACCATTTTACTTGGGTTTGTACCAGGCTTTGCATCGACTGTCACATTTCCGCTGAATCACATTTCTGGTTTGAGCCACTTTAGACTGACTGTATGTCAACTGAAGTCTACACATTATAAATGCTGAGATAAGCAGATTGTCTTAAAAATAAGTTATTCAGACTGTTGACTCACACTAGAAATGTAAACATTCTGACATTACTGGCCAATAGCTTTGTCTGACTTTTCAATAATTGCCACATAAAAATAGTGGTGAAAATAAGTTTGTTTTTGGTGAAATTAATTCAGGCAAATGGTGTTTTTATTTTAATCAAGTCTAGTGCAAGTGCGTAAAATGACTTTTATCTCACACATTAAATTAAAATGTAGCTAGAAAATTAAGAATTACTGCACTTGAATCTCAAGTTGAGGCTTCTTTTTTGAAGACTTTTGTGACTTGCGTGACGATTTTTTGGCGCTTTTTGATTTAAAACTCAATCGCCTTTTTGTTGATGATTTGGGGCGCTTCTTTGACTTTTTTGACGAGCGAACGGCAACGTTGTTAATGCGCACATTTGACTTGGGACTCTTATTGCGTTTACCTAAATTAAAACACAAGCTATTTAGTTGAAAGTTAAGCAGAAAAAAACGGTTACAGCTTTACCAGTGCAGCAGCAACAGTAAATGAGAATGAGGAGCAGAAGAAGGCTGATGATTCCTGAAGCGACGGCTACAGCGATGATCAGTCCCATGTTAGACTGGCGACCACTGCGACCATCAGTGGTGTGGCTGTCATCGCTGCTGTCACCCCCTCCTCCTCCAGCGAGGGCCGCTTTGACCAACTCCGGCAGAACGTTCTTATCGTCCCACTTCTTGGTCTTCTTCCAGATGCACTTTTCATTGCCCTTGCACTCCTCCTTGATGGCCGCCTTTTGAGAGGGCGACATCGTCGGCGGTACAAAGCTAATGCCTGGAATCTTGTCGAGCATGTTGTTGACATACAGTCCAAGCAGAAAGTGTTTGCACCAGTGCAAATCTTTAAAGCAGCGTGACTTCCAGTCCTTAGGAATTGCCGTCGGTTTGCCCGGCGGACTGTCATCGTCGTCAGTGTCCGTCTCATGGTCATCGATCAAGTGATGATCTCTGTGACCGCGCTTAGTGCGAGCCATTGAGGTGAATGAGGGAGACGTGTAATTAAAATTTAGAAAAAAATTGACTGGAGTTTAGTTTGATTAGTTTAAAAGCGTAGCTTTTTATTTAGGTATATTTAGAACTTTGACAATTGATGGAAAAAGTGCAACAATGATATTTTTCTAAATTATAAAATTAAGCAAAAACAAATAGTTTTTAACAAAATAGTTGTTTAATTTCTTTAGCATAGAACTCAATGACTTGTTTTCTCCTCAACTTTAAAGCCGCCGTCACTAGGTGATTGTCCTGTGTCCACTCTTCTGTAGCTAAGTGCACTCTCTTTGGCAACTCCTTTACACTAAGACCTCTGCCCTTGCCGACGTTTATTAGATCATTCAGTACTGCCTTTTTTACTTGATCATCTTTGAACTGTTTTTCAAGTGTGTCTAGAGACTTTAACCCAAGTTTTTCAGTTGTTAAGGTGGTAATGGCTTGCCGATTGGGCTGAATGAGTGCCACTACGTAGTTGGCAGCTGGCCATGTGCAGATGGCAATGTTCTCCACAAAAACCGACGAACGAAGAGCAGACTCAATTTTTCCCAATGAGACAAACTCACCATTGCTAAGTTTTGTTAGGTCCTTTTTTCTGTCTGAAACCCGCAAACAAATCAAATTACATTTTTTCTGATAAACTAATTAACCTACCAATAATTTTCAAAGTTCCGTTAGGCAAGAGTTCTCCAATGTCACCGCTTTCAAACCACCTTTGTCCATCGGCATCCTTTTTAAACGACTCTGCTGTTTCTTTTTCCATTTTATAGTAGCCAGAAGTAATGTTTGCTCCACCCACCTAGTGCCATACAATTCCATAAAAATGGTAGTTTTTGTATGTTTAAAATGCCAAAAAACTTTGTTTTGTCACTTACCACCACTTCTCCGCGTGGGTTTGGGCGATCAGTGCTAAAATAACCGGCTTCAGGCCAGTCTTTAAGATAAAATCGAGCAGAGTTAAATGGAATTCCGGAAGAACCATAAGTGAGATCGTCGTTATGCATTATAGTTGCACCAGCGGTCATTTCAGTAGAGCCGTACCCTAATTATTAAAATATAAAAATTTATAAATTTGTTGGAAGGCAGGGAGAGCGTGAGCTGATAGATAAGGTTTATTCAACTAAAAATAGAGAATAACTAACTCACTACAGTGAGATACGCCACTCTAAATAGAGTGGGAGAACAATACTTGCAAGTTCTAAAATCATAGAGGTTCTAAAACCTAACAATATTTGTTTGTAAAAAGCCAAAATATTTTACCTTGAGTGCATCGAATATTCAAAGCTGCTTGTACTAGTGCTTGAGTCCGGGAGTTCAATGGTGCACTCCCTACTGTGATCGTTTTCAGATTGCCTCCAAACTGTTCGTTTAATTTTTTGCAAATTAATTGATTAATTATGGGTGTTTGGTAGCCACGAGATTGCCATTTAATTTTGTAATCCATTAAATACTCAAAAAGCGGCATTGCCAGTTTACTTTTTGTTTCAAGTTTTCGGTTGATCTCTTTTAGTATTCTAAATAGATAAATTAAAAATAAAACTAGTTAAATAGT